CTCGTCCTCGTGCTCGTCCTCGTCCTCGTCCTCGGCCTCGTCCTCCTCCTCCGCCTCCGCCTCCCCCGCCTCCTCCGCCTCCTCCGCCTCCTCTCGGGGATGTTCTGACCCGGGTCAATCCAGACCCGTGTCAGCAGCAACCCAAAAACTGCAATGCAGGAAAAAAAAACTGCAACGCAGATCCTCGCAAACCCGGGTCAGCCAATACGCGCGGCCGCCTCGCGGCCACGAGCGGCTCGCTGACCCGGGTCAGCCAGAGGGGGTCTTCGCAGGATCCTGCAGGATCCGGCGCCCTGGCTGACCCCCGTTTGCACTGACCCCCGTCTCTTAGGCCCCGATCCTCCTCCTCCTCCGCCTCCTCCGGCTCCTCCGCCTCGTCCTCGTCCTTGTCCTCGTGCTCGTCCTCGTCCTCGTCCTCGGCCTCGTCCTCCTCCTCCGCCTGCGCCTCCCCCGCCTCTTCCGCCTCCTCCGCCTCCTCCTCCTCCTCCTCCTCCTCCGCTTCGTCCGCCTCCTCCTCCTCCTCCTTCTCATCCTCCTCCTCCTCCTCCTCCTCCGCTTCGTCCGCCTCCTCCTCCTCCTTCTCATCCTCCATTCCTTGCCCTTATAAATAACTCCTCCCTGGCGCACCCCGAGGCCATGTTTTTGGATGGGCCCAGCGTTTCGCTTGAGACTCCCTCACAATGTGTGACCCTGAAGCCTAAACATAAGCAACAGCTTAACGGATGGAGGGTCGGTGGTGTTCAATGTATGGCTCTCGCCTTAGCGCCGCGCACATTATTATTGCACAGTGCAAGAGTTTCACGGATTGAGGGCGACTCGTTTTCAAAATGTGGCTCTCGCCTCAGCGCCGCGCACATTTGTTATACAAAATTTGGAAGAGCTTCACGGATTGAGGGCGGTTCCGTTTCAAAATGTGGCTATCGCCTCAGCGCACGGATTGCGGACGGGTGGTTTTCTAAATGTGGCTCTCACCTTAGCGCCGCGTACAGTCGTTTTACAAATCTGCAAAAGCTTCACGGATTGAGGGTGGCTCCTTCTCAACATATATCAAAATATGGCTCTCGTCTTAGCGCCTCGAACATTTGCTTACAGCATTGACCAGCGTTTTACGGGTTCCCATGATCAACGTACCAGCAATGGTGTGTTGGAAAGATTCGGGAACATGCGGGTGCAATAGGTACGTTGATTCGAGGCGTTGAAGTCCCAGGAATGGCGTTCTGGCACGATTCAGGCTCGTCAAGGCGCAACAGTCAGGTTGAACCGTGGCGTTGGACTCCCGAGAACAATGCTTTGGCATGCTTCTCAATATTCAAACAGTTCTCTTCCGACGAGGCAGTTCAATTCCCTCAGTGGAGATGACCGTTGTAGGAGCCTGTGAAGAGGGAGATTGGAGGGAGAGTGTATTCAAACATCGTTGACGACTCTTGGGTTTACACATGTTCTCCTCCTCCTCCTCATCATCATCATCCTCCTCCTCTTCCTCCTCCTCCTCCTCCTCCTCCTCCTCCTCCTCCTCCTCCATCCTCCCCTCCCTCCCCCCTCTCCCTCCCACCCTCCCCTCCCACCAGTCCCGTCCCCCCACTCTCTCACGTTCTCTTCCAACTTTCCCCTCCCTCCCCAGAGGCCTCTAAAATGGGGTATGGGCTGATGGGGTCGAAGGATCGTGCCGCACCGCCTGCATCGGCGACGTCGGCGATGCAGCGGCGCCGTCGGCGTGGGGAAAATCGGACTCCGCGTCGAGCCGCATCGCTGATGCATCGACGATGAAGAGGGGGAGGGGGAGGGGGAGGGGGAGGAGGAGCAGGAGGAGGAGGAGGAGGAGGAGGAGGAGGAGGAGGAGGAGGAGGAGGAGGAGGAGCAGGAGGAGGAGGAGGAGGAGGAGTTGGAGGAGGAGGAGGAGAAGGAGGAGGAGGAGAAGGAAGAGAGGAGACGCGCGGCGCTGCGGATTCAGAACGAGGACCCAACACACAGGACGGCTGCGAAGAAAAAAAAAAAAAAAAAGGGCGTCGCCGATACATTCGCCGACCCGGCGGCGCGACCCCTCGGACCCCGTGGGAGAGCCTGGGACTCCCCCCCGGGTCGGACGCGAGTCAAGGGGCCCCAGGACACACAAATAAATACACACAAATAAACAGATTCCCCATATTTGCCCATATTTTCTGGGTTTTTGTCTTCCCCCCCACTTCCCATATTTCCCATATTTTCTAGGGAGTCGACGATTAATTGTGTCTGTGTTCTTTCCCCTCCTGAGCAAGGGGGGCCAGCGATTTGGGGGGATGTAGCGAATCAGCTCGCGCAGCTGGCTTCCACTGGCACCACCCAGTGCCAGAGGCGCCAGTACATCGAGAAGACCAGGCGGCGGGCCAAAACCAGCCGCACGCTGCAGATTTTGTATCCCCCCCACCTTTCGGCGACTCCAAGGGGTATGGTTTGCAGAGGGTCTGGCTTGCAGCCGGCACCCTGGGGAACATCCTGCGGGGCACCCTGGGGGGCACGCGGGGACCTCGATAGAGTTCTCCCGCGCCCCGAAGAGGCCCGACGAGGACAGCGTCGTGCCCCCCATGCCCCAGCGGTGCCGATCGCAAACCACTTTTTCTACCTACACGAAGGAGCCCAGTGGCACGACGAACGACGGACAAAACGACAGACGACAGACGAAAGCGACAGGCGACAGGAGGGAAACGTGCCGACGCACTGGCCAAGCAAATGGCTTGAGCCAAAACGTGGCTTGAGCCAGGACGAAAACGACAGGGCGAAAACGACGGACGACGACGAAAGCGAAGACGAAACGTGCCGATCGCAAACCACACCCCGCCGGCGCAACGATACCCATTGTAGTCGCCGACCCTTCCCCGAGGCCCCCCGAGAGACCCTGGCCGCCCAGCCTGCGGGGGTCGTACCTCGGGCCCCCAGCGGCGGGCTCGCACGATCCGGGCACCCCCGGAGAACGCCCTCGACGAGGCGCAGCTGCTGGAGGCCATCCCGCGGCTGGAGAGACACCAGACGAGCCCGCTCCACGACTCGCAAAGTCACTACTCGCAAGTGGCCCGGATCCCCCGCGGGGGATCTACGATACGAGCAGGCACGTGTTTCTGTTCGGACGCTTGCGAGCAGGCACTCTGCGAGCAGTGGAACGCGCTCGGCGAGACACCGCGAGCCGACGAGACGTCCGAAAACCTCAACGCTCGAGCCCGAAACGTTCGCATGCCCTCCTTGGGGGGCAAACAAACCTGCCTCGCTTTTGACCACCCTCGCTTCCAAGAGGTACCGAGCGATGCCAAACCGTGCCAGGTCAGGCCGCCTGACGAGGAGGCGCGTGGCATGACTTGGTTTTGCCTGGAAGCAAGAGCGGGGCAGGCAATTCACGCTCCGACTCCTGGCGTCCGACCCCACGGCCGGACCGGGCCGAGCGCACCGCCGTGCGCGGCGACCCAGGACTCGAGGACCATGGCGCGCACGGCCGGGTGGATGCACCCGCCGGCCCGCTTCGCCATGTTCCGCACCGCCTGCCGGCGGGAGGGGTCCCACAGAGGAGGAGGAGGAGGAGGAGGAGGAGGAGGAGGAGGAGGAGGAGGAGGAGGAGGAGGAGGAGGGAGGAGTGGAGGAGGAGGAAGAGGAGGAGGAGGAGGAGGAGGAAAAGGAAAACGAGGAGGGAGAGGAGGAGGAGGAGGAGGAGGAGAAGCGGTGACTACCTACCAGACCACCCCAACCCAACCCGAAGACCCGAATTGCGGGTTGGGGGGGGCACGGGTTTCGTAGTTTTTTCGATATTCCCCGACCCCCCAAATCGGGGCCTTCGGGTTGGGTTGGGGTGATTTGGTGGGCGGTGAGGAGGGGCTCCGCCGAACCCTGAGATCCTGAAGTCGCAACTGTTTCGGAACGGGCGAGTTTGCCCCGTTTGAGGCCCTGGGGCCCTCACAGATCGATCCAGCTCGAAAAGTGCAGCAGAAAGATGAGATCCAGGAGCCCGTTTTTGTCCAAACAGTGCTTGTGCATAGGGATCCTTACTTCTGTTCTAAGGAACTGGGCCTGTGCGTCGGCCTGGCGGCTATTTTGCAACCGTCGCAGCCCCGTTGCCGGCGCGTCGGTTTGGCGGCTATGTTGCCGCCGTCGCCGCCCAGTCGCCGCCTGGTCGGCGGCCATCGTCTGCGCTTGCGCGCCAGTCTGGCGGCGTCGCCGCCCCGTCGCTACCGTCGCCGCTCGTCGCCGCCATTGGATTGCACCACGTAGATTGCACAACATGGGTTCTCCATGTGTAGAGGGACATTGGGATAGCAATTCCCCCTGCCAAACTTAACGCGTCGCTTGTTCGCACTGCGGTTTAAACATGCTTCTGCCCCATCGTTCATCCGAAATATAAACTCAAACCATCCTCATCCCCACCCTCATCCCCTGCACCCTCAGCCCCCCAAACCCATCCCCCCACCCTCATCCCCAACAAAACCTTAGATGCGTGCACGCTCGTTTACCAAAAATCGTCAGCTTCCCCCCTCCAACAAAAAACTTAAAGATTGAGAAGTTCACACGCGCGCACCGTCGCGCGCGCATGCCGAGATCCTTCAAAAACGTTCGGTGTCGTAAGTAAGTATTCCAAAATCGAGTGTCCCGAAAACATGTCTGAAACACAATGGCTTCGTAACAGGAATATTCCAAAACATGTGCGCTTGCGCTCTTGCGAGTTTTTGGAAAAACAGTGAGTTCTCCAACATGTTCATCAAATGCTGCCAAACGTGCTTCTCGCGCGCGCATGTCGAACTCGTTCGAGCGCTCTTGCGCGCGTGCTGTCGCGATCATCACTTTTAACAAACACATGCACCCGCGCGTCATCCGCGCGCATGCCGAAATTCTTCAAAACATAGGGTGATGCCGAATCCGGCGCCGAGGTAGAGTGATGCCAGACATAGGGATAGAGCATATGTTTCAAGCTAATAAGCTCCTGGGCGGGGTGGGCTTTCGGTCCCGTGTCGGCGGTGAATGGGCGACTGGGGGCCGCCCCCCTCGAGCCGAGCCCTTCCGCCCCAATGTTGCCCACGACTCATCGGGTGAGATTTAGGCCTGCAGCGAGCTTCTGGCTCACTGGTCAGATGACGCTATTCTCGGCGGCGCCGGCCTTCCAGGAAGGCGGCGGGAGCTCTGCTGAAGGCGGGCGGGCGCCTTAGAAGCCCGCCCAGCTTCTGACGGGCCTCCTAAGAGGCCCGCCGCGTCCCACGGAGCCCCCCGCCTTCTCAGGAGCCCGCCCCCCCCACCCCCCCCCCCGCCACCTCCCCGCCCCCGTGTTCGGAGCCAGAGCCCGAGCCCAGGAAAGTGGAGCACGCAAGCAAACTGCATTGTGTTTTATATGTTTGGTTGTTTTTTATTATTTGTTGTATTATTTCAGTTGTTTTCTTTACTTGCAACTGCAGCATGCTGCCACGCAAGCGGCAGGGCCACGCCACGGCCGCCACGGGTGCTGACTGCTGCTCCATGCTCCAGGGCGCGCGCTCTGCCAGTGCACAGTGGAGGCCAGTCCACAGGAAGCCTCCCGCGAGAAACCCAGCCCCGAGACCCCGACACCAGGACGTCCATGGACTTCTGGCGCGTGGGAGCGTCACGCTCCCCGTGGCAGAACCAGCGAGGCCCAGGAAACCCAGGGCACCCTCGAGGCAAGCAGGGTGCTTCCTGGCATGGGCCCCCACTGCGCTGCACGGCGTGCAAGAGCGCGCGCGCGTCGCCAGTGAAACGCATGCTTTTTCGGGCACGCGCAGGCGCCAGAACTGCATGCTCCGAGCGCGCTCCGCCGCCCGTGGCCTCCTCCCCCCCCCTCCGCGCCTCTCTCTCTCTCTCTCTCTCGCTCCTGGTCGTGCTCAAGGTGACCCCGCGGCGTCCCTCGGCTGCCCCGACCGCGCCTTTGGTCCGATGTCGCCAGGGCAGAAAAACATGCAAGAGCGCGCGCAGCCCGTGCGGAAGCGACGCGCACACAGCACAGATGCGCACGCATCCGACCCGTCCAACACCAGAGCTTCGATGGGACCCGCAGTGCGAGGGTTGAGGGGGAACTTCAAAGTGGGACGGGCTCAGGCGGGGAAACAGTGACCTGGAATCGGCGATACATCGCCGACTGCTCGGCTATAAGAACCCGATGGCGACACACCACGCTCCTGGGCGGGATGGGGCTATCGGGCATAAACTGGCGACTGTTCCATTATAGCATCAGCATGACCTGGAAATCATATGCTGAGACTTGCAGACTACCGTGAGGCTCGTGCACGTCTCTCAGGTTTAGCTGTGCCCCGATCGCACTCGGAACCTCCAGCCACGTGGCCTTCACTTGGCGCAGCGGTCCCCTCAGAGGGTACATCGCTGTTGGTGATGTTGGAAGTGGCCTCGACCATGGGCGATTGGGGGTCGATGCATCACCCCCAGTGCCCACCCTGCCCTAACTCGGGCGCACGCCAACATGGATGAGGGATCCGCGGCTCTGGCGCGTGAACGCCACATCCGCGGATCGAAAGATGAGGCCGATGCGGCCGCATTTGGCGATGGATCGCGCCGACTGCGCGAGGAAACGGGACCCGTCGCTAATCTTCAGTGGCAACACATGGGAGCCTCCCATACCATCTTGTCGGCTCTTGCGAATCGACGCCAGTCGACGCTGAATCGAAGCTAATCGACGCTAAATCCACGCTGACCGACGCCGACCGACGCTAAATCGGCGCTATCTCATCCACTCCCAGACGCTAGTGGACGCTGTTCGACGCTAAAGGCACAATTGCGAGGGTACACAAGGCTCCCACGATTTGCCACCGAACTGATCCACGCACCTTAATCCGCTGCAGCGTTCCCTCCTGACGCTGCCCCCGATCCCCGCCACGGCCGCGGCGGGGCACTGGCCATCGCAGCACCCTCCTCCTCCTCCTTCTCCGCCTCCTCCTCCGCCGCCTCCTCCTCCGCCTCCTCCTCCCTCCTCCCTCCTCCCTCCTCCCCCTCCTCCTCCTCCCTCCCTCCTCCCTCCTCCCTCCTCCCTCCTCCCTCCCTCCTCCTCCCTCCCTCCTCCTCCTCCTCCTCCTCCTCCTCCTCCTCCTCCTCCTCTCCTCCTCCTCCTCCTCCCTCCTCCTCCTCCCTCCTCCCTCCTCCCTCCTCCCTCCTCCGCCCCCGCCTCCGCCTCCGCCGCCTCCGCCTCCACCCCCCCTCGATCACCGGACGCAGCGGGCCGCTGCCGCCCTCCTCCCTGGGCTTCGGCGCCCAAGTGTCACCCGATGCTGCAGGCTCGCGTCGCGATGACGGCGGCGTTGGTCTCTGACGTCCAGCATGGATCGTTCAATCTTGAACGATCGTAGGTCGTTCGATTTGGGCCGGTTCTGGGCCACTGGCGGCGTTCAACCTGGAACGCCTGGGCTGGCTTCGACGCCGCGGTAACGTAGCGCAAACCTACAGCACAGTCACAGGCTTGACCATGAGGAATCTTAGGCACTCCGCACTGTTCAGTAAGCGTGGATGGGTGGATCGCGTTGAGGTGTAGGACCCAGACCTCCGATGAGATGGCCTGTTCAATGCGGGCGTGTTGCCTCGACCTGGGCCGCTAGTGCCCGCTAGTGCCCGCCATCGGACCCCATGACCATCATTGACGGATCCGTGGCGAAGAACTTGTCCTGGGCAGGGGGTCGGGACCTCTGGGGCCGTGCACCGAAAAAATCAATTGTCGGATTTCTTGCAGTAGGTTGTCCTTCGCTGAGCGTTGGGTGGTTCGGTCGCTCAGGGGTGGATTCGGTGGGCGTGGGGGGGGGAGGGCGGCATGGGCCGGCAGGCGGGGTGGCATGGGGAGGATGCGCGGCAAATGGCCCGGATCTACGAGCGAGGCTGCCTTTTGGCCTCGGCCGCGCCCCGACGCAGGACCCTTGGGGGGGCCACCTGCGAACCCTGCCCCTACCCCCCACGATTTCTGAGGGGGAGGGCGGGGTTCGCTTCGCTTCGCTCGAGAGCTCCTCAACGAAGTGACCCCCGCCCTCCCCCTCAGAAATCGCGGGGGCTAGGGGTAGGGTTCGCATGTGGCCCCCTATGGATTCACGGACGAGGCTGCTTTTTGGCCTCGGCTGCGCCTCGACGCGAGACCCTGACACTCGCCGCCCTGATGTCTCAATCCGCGGCCCACGGAGGCGCCCACGGCCTCGGCAGGGGCGATCGGCCGTCCCGGATCCATGTCTGGAAGCCCGAGAAGTCGGCCCCGGGGCCCGATGAGTCGGCCCCTGGAAGCCGAGATCGGAGAACAGACGTCCAGGGGCGAGCTCGGCGGCGTGCTCAGTGACGCTGTGTGGCCACCACGGCAGCACCACGCGAGCCTCATCCGAAGCGACCTCTCCCCTGCACCTGCGGAAAGCATCGAGCAAGTGAGAGCGACCGCAGCGACAAACACACTGAAGGAGCGCAAAACGCTCACTAACCCCGGTGTCGCAGGGTCTTTGGGGACGGAGGAGCCCACGAACAAAGACAAGGGAAGATGGCCATTGTCTGGGGGCGTGCCGGGGGAAAT